TGTGATGCAGGGTTGAAAGTGTGTACACTTCTCTACTTGCTGCTCATGCAGATTGTTGAGAGACGTCTACACTGGCTTTGGCTGTCTTCTGTTATCGACTGGGTGCTCTTGTCCAGCGAGTGAAGCTTCAGAAGGTGTGTAGCATGGCTATTTGGACACTGGTGCTCTCTGTTGCCAGCTGGAGGGGAGAGCCCTAAATAAAGCATCCCAAATCAAAGAATGGGCAGTTAAAGAAAACCCAAAACTTGGGAGGCGTACATAAGGAAGAAGAAAAGGGATAGAAAGGAAGAAAAGATGGACAAAGGGGAGAAGGAAAGGAAAGGAAAAAAGAAAGGAGGAAAACACAAGAGGAGAGATATAAGAATGGGGGATATCCAAGTGAAGGGATGGGAAAGAAAAGGAAAAGAGATGTGAAAAAAGGTGGAGCCTAGGTATGATGTCTGGGTATCTGATTGTGTTCTTGCCATGCTGTGATCGTAGATAGATTTTCCTGGTTTGGAAGAAGGTTGGGCTGTGGTGCCGATTCAGGACACAGTTGAGATGTGGCTGAGGCGAGGCACCCAGCCAAGGACAGAGCCTCTGCTGTCCCCAGGGTGCATTTCCATGTCAAATATGAAGCCTCAGAAGTTCTACCGGGCTTTGAGGGGTGGGGCACCCAGTTTGGGACCAAATGTCTGCTCTACTCAGAGGTATCTAAGGCAGTCCTCTGGCCTGGGGTAGTGTCCCTTCTAGTCCAGTACTCACATGCAGCCAAGACATCCCAGTCAGACATGACTGACTTTGCGGGTGCCAGGAGTTAGAGAACATGCATGTTTCCATACATTTCACTCACATGTGGAGTCTCACACATCTGGTTGCAGACCCACGAAGCTGCCCTGTCAGCTCTATTCTCTGCCAATCAAGGAGATAGATTGTAGGTGGCCAGCAACTCAGGTGGCACAGAATTCCAGCTCTAGTAAGAGCTGTGCATGCACCTCACCATGTGATGGCATGGTACACCTAATTCTAAACCCACAGGGGCATCCTGCCAGGGTCGGTTCCTGCCAACCCAGAGGTGGTCAGGGAAGGTACACTCTGCCAGTTCTAAGAAGCAGAATGCATGCAGCTCCTAATGTGAAAGTAGCATGTGTCAAGTACCAGATCCTCAGGATATCCCATCAGGGTCAGTTTCTGTTAACCCAAGAAGTGGTTAGAGATAGGAATCCCGGTCAGAAATCAGTCTAGGGGTGAGATTCAGCTGGAACAGCAGATAGAAAACACGTGTTTCTCAATGTGGAGCTGTATCTTCTCACCAACAGATATACAGGGTGCATCGCTGACCTCAGCCAGAGGTGGAGTGGGCCTGGAGGAATACTGCCACCACCTGGGGGGATTCCCCTGCTGATCCTGGGGAAGGAGTGCATCTTTCTTGACCTCAACACTAGTGCAGTCATAGGTTCCTGCATCGATCAGAGAACTGCTTATAAAAGTTCGAATGACTAGTCCATGACAGATCTGTTGACAGTTCACTACTGTGTCCATATTGGATGTTTTCATTCTGTTTCTTCCTTCTGTCAGTGTTTGAACTACCTCATCCTCTCCTTTGCAACCCAGGCTTCCTGGAGTCTTATCTGCGTTGTTCTTTCTTTCTGCTGTCTTAGCTGTAGAAGGCCTGGGCTGGCACCTGCCTAGTCTGCCACCTTGCTGGAGAACCTCCGGGGATTTTCAATTCCCAATTTGTATGAATCAGAATACAGCGCCAGGCTTTTCTTCCAAGGCACTTTTGAGTGTACTTGAACCATTAACCTTTCAGTTCAGAGCTGGATCTGAGCACTGAATTCTTTGTACCATGGAAGGACTCCAGAGGGGGCCAGATGGTAGTATTTTAAGTCAGGCTGTGAGCTCAGGCCTCTGCAGGTTTGCCTGATGTGGCCATGTTTGGGGCCTTTTGAGGAAGAATCCCTGTTTAAAGAGCTGAGCTAGGGTGGAGGCAGTTTGGCGCTGAGGAGGACCTTGTTCTCTCCTACTTCAAAAGTGTCCTGCTCCAGGGTGAGGTCTTGGACACTCAGGTGGGGGCGGCCCCTCTGTAGCATGTTTGTCAACTGTCCTCCAGAGCTTCCACTCTGGCTGCCCTGGGAACACTTCGCTGGACCTTTGCTGGCACTGGAGTCCTAGTTTGCAGGACAATGTCCTTCTTGTAGTAGTTGTGACCATAGTGCAGCATCATCCACTTTTTCTTTCTGTGTGTAGAGCTGCTGTGAGTGGGAGCTGACCTGGGAGCCCCTAGCAAGTGGCTTTGTGTGTACAAAGAGAGCTGTGGAAACTTGTTATTTGCATCTCTAACCCCTTCTGCCTTAAAGAGGGTTGTTGTTGTTGTTGTTATGTGCCGTTGAGTCGTTTCCGACTCATAGCGACCCTATGCACAACAGCCCTAAACCCTGCTCTATCCTGCGCCAACCACACTGCCTCTGACACACCCATCCCTATTACCCCAGTCACCGAGTCAATCCATCTCATAGAGGGTCTTCCCCTCCTGCGCCGTCCCTCCACCCTCCCAAGCATGATGTCCCTCTCCAAGGACCCGTCCCTCCTGGCAACATGTCCAAAGTATGTCAAAGCCCCAGAATCCTTGCCCCCAAGGAGTAGCTTGGTTTAATCCTCTCTAAGACAAATCCGTTTGTTTTCCTGGCAGTCCAGGGTACATTCAGTACCCTTCTCCAGCACCACAGCTCAAAAGCATCCACTCTCCTTCTATCCTCCCTAGTCATTGTCCAGCTCTCTGATGCATAACAAGCGATTGCAAATACCATGGCCTGTATCAGGCGCACCTTAGTCTCCAGAGAGACACTGTTGCTCCTGAGTATTTTAGAGAGGTCCCTAACAGCAGACTTTCCCATCGTGATATGCTTTTTGATTTCCTGACTGCTGATGCCAAGAGTGTTGACTGTGGAGCCAAGCAAACTGAAGCTGTGAACACTCTCAATCTCTTCGTCATCCATCCTGATGCTGCCAATTGGTCCAGTGGTGAGAATCTTTGTCTTCTTGACATTGAGCCTCAGTCCATACTGAAGGCTGCAGTCCTTGACCCTTTGCAACAAGTGCATGAGGTCCTCCTCAGTTTCAGCAAGCAGGGTTGTGTCATCTACATAACGCAGATTGTTAATAGGTCTTCCACCAATCCTGATGCCACAATTCTCCTCGTAGGGCCCAGCCTTTCGGATAATCTGCTCTGCATACATGTTGAAAAGGTATGGAGACAGGATGCATCCCTGGCGTACACCCTTCCCAATTTTGAACCATGCAGTGTTACCCTGCTCTGTTCTGACTACTGCCTCTTGGTCCAAGTATAGGTTTCGCATTAGCACAATTAAATGTTCTGGGATTCCCATTCTTCTCAGAATCAGCCACAGTTTGTTATGATCCACACAGTCAAATGCCTTTGCATAATCAATGAAACACAGATAGACATTCTTCTGGTATTCTCTGCTTTCAGCCAAGATCCATCTAACATCAGCAACAATATCCCTAGTACCACGACCCCTTCTAAACCCAGCCTGGACTTCGGCAGTTCTCTGCTGATGTGCTGTTCTAATCATTTTTGGATAATCTTCAGTAGAATCTTGCTTGCATGTGAAATCAATGACACTGTTCTGTAGTTTACACACTCAGTTGTGTCACCTTTCTTTGGAATGGGAACAAATATAGATCTCTTCCAGTCAGTTGGCCAAGTGGTTGTTCTCCAGATTTCTTGGCACAACTTGGTGAGCACATCCAGGGCAACATCTGTTATCTGAAATACTTAATTGGTATACCATCTCTCCCCTCGGCCCTATTTTTTGCTATTTCCTTCAAAACAGCTTGAACTTCTTCCTTCATCACCATAGGCTCTTGCTCATATGTTATTTCTTTAAATTCCTCTGTATCTGCCAATTCCTTTCTATATATAATGACTCAGTATATTCTTTCCTTCTTCTTTTAATACTTCCTGGATCATTTAATATTCTGCCCAAAGCATCCTTGATTACAGCAACAGAGAGTATTAATTTTTCCCCCTTCAGTGGCTCTCTGTTCATTAATTTATTAATAGAAAAAATGTTTCAGACCTACCATTGGACAGTTGGCTGATGAATGACAAGGTTGGCCTGGTGACCTTAGGAAGAGCCCTGTCCTACACTTACCTATACCCCATGTGCCCTCGGGTCCAGAGGGCTGGGTCCTGTGACTGTCTGGCCTTCATAGTCCAGCCCTGACAGCCCTGCTATGTCAGGCCCCTCTCTCCTCCTCTGCTGTTTCCTCCCCTTTAGTTAATGTTTTCTGGCCTTTCCCTGCTCACTAAGCTGGGAAACAAAGATTCTCAATGGATGAGAGACTCGTGGTCTCTCAGGGAGGGCTGGGGAGAGACATCGGTTACCAGTCCTGGCTCTGTCTATGGTCCACTGTGTGAGCCTTGGACAGATCCTCCCTGCTTAGATCTCGGTGTCCCCTCTAAGCAGTCTCTCCCTGTCCCCTTCTCCCAAAGCCATCTGGCTGGCATCTGGGCCCCTGCACCTCCTGGCATGGCCACAAGGGGGAGGCCAAGGGCTTTGAAGTGCTAAGAGCACAGCCACCTTCACTTTAGGAAAAGCCTGAGTGGAAAAGAAGAGGGGGTAAATAATGTACACTGCATTGAAATGGATGAGGGAAAGAACTGTTTAAGAGGAATATATGATTAGGTATTATTTGCATGACAGCAGTCCAGAATAAGAGCTGCATAGCAAAATAGACTGGGGGAGGCGCAACAATGAATGAATGGAAATCCAAGTTCTCTATAAACTGCCATAAAAATCTCAATTAAAACTAAAAAATTTAAAACAAAAAGCCCGGGCCAGGGGTTTGGGGGACTGCCCTGGTGTGGGACTGGCCTTACTTATTCCTTACAGAAAGAACTTCTCTTGAACAAGAAGTTCACTCAGAGCCACTGTGAAATCGTGAAACCCTCAGAATGCCTGAGTGGAGATTAGGGGTTGTGTCTCTTTCCACAGTGGTCCTTTGTTGTCGCAACCATCACAGAAATCCCCCCTGTCATCTTCCTCCCCAACTTCCTTGTTCAGAGAAAAGTGCTGAGGCCCCTGCGGACCCAGACTGGAGGAACCATCATGGTAGGTGGGAAGTGAGGAGGCGGGGCTGGGCCTGGATCCCCATACCCTAGACCCCACCCCACCCTGGGCTCCTCCCACACTCCAGGCTCCTCCCCTACACTGGGCTCCTTCCCATCCTGTGCTCCTCCCTACCTTAGGCTCCTCCCACCCTCGGCTCTGACTCCTCCCATACCCTGGACTCCTCATACCCTGGGCTCCTCCCATATCCTGGACTCCTCACACCCTGGGCTCCTCCCATACCGTGGACTCCTCACACCGTGGGCTCCTCCCACACACCCTGGGCTCCTCCCACACACTGGACTACCCACACCCTGGGCTCCTCCCATACCCTGGGCTCCTCCCACACTCTGGCTCCTCCCACACCCTGGGCTCCTCCCTACCCAGTACTCTCTTGAGAATGCACTTCCCTCATTTGATAGTTGAACAAAAACATCTTAAAAATTCAAGGCCCAGCAACAATGGCTCTTTCTCCAGAGACCTTTTCCCGTTCTCAGACATTAAAACTCCATTGTTCTCTCTCCAATGGCCTTCTGTTAAGATTTACCATATTTGCTGGAATATCAGATACAGCCTCATCCTCCAAGTTGTCATTGTGTGCTGTTGAGTCAGAACAGACTCATAGCGGACCTCCCAACAGGTTTTCAGAGGGAGTGAATCGCACGGGAGGAGAGTGCCCATTCTTCCTCCATGGAGCAGCTGGTGGATTTTAACTGCAGGCCTTTGGGTTGTCAGCGTAACCACTAAACTGGACCACTAAGCCACCAGCATTCCAAAAATGATCACTCAAGTATATCCAAATTTAGGATGGAAAACCTGACTCCATAATGCATTGATGGGTGCTCTCCGCCATCATGAGTGTGGAAAGAAATGAAAATTCGTTTTCGCGGCCTGTGTGCAGGGCCCACAAGTCTGCTGTGAGCTGCCGGGGTGGCTGGAGGTAGAGAAACGTTCAAGACTCAAATATAAGAGGAGCCAGGCCGGTCCTGTATCTGTATTTACCGACACTGTAGGGGCTTTATTTGTTTGTTTTCTTGCTTTATTTATTTGTTTTCTATTTGTTTTTTGTTTTCTATTTTTTAAACTTGTGCTAGACTATAACTATTTTTTAATTTTTTTTCATTTTATACTAGTTTACTTACAAAGTTCATATACGTTGTTTCACGCTGGATCTTTCCCATTTTCTTTACCCATCCCTCCCTCTACCCATCAAATTTTGTGACCCTGTGATAACAATTAGCCGTTGATGTTAAGTAAATTCACAATATTGTGTCACTACTCTACTATTCCAGATATTTCCCCCCCTTTATCATCCTAATTATAAACTAGACCCATTAAATGTTGGCTTTCCACTGCTAACAGCCCATCTCCACCCCCAGCACCTTGCTCGAATGTTTTTTGGAGCTCTGTGAATTTTTATTTTATTACTGCCCACTCAAAAACCATTTTCTGAAGACTTCAGTGTGTCGTCTCCTGAGTTTCTGTAAGCAGAAAATAGATTCTCATCTCTTTCAGAACCACACGAAACTGACAGTGTCAGCTCATGCATGATGATGAATAGCTAACATATTTATTTCTTTGGTTTCCTCTTGAAATTGAGAAAGGGGTCCCACATTGTTGTTGTGAGATGCTGCTGAGTATGACTCATAGTGGCCCTGTGCACTGCCCTGTCATTTGCCTGTGCCGCAGGGACTGACTCCCCACCCAGGCTGCAGCTCAGCCCCACTCAGACAGAGCCCCCAGGGTGGCTGTGGGAGGGCTAAGGGGCTGTGAGTGGGGACAGTGCCCAGCTCTTGGCATCACTTGTGCTTGTCTTCCAAGGCAGGGAAGCTGGCCGTGGATCGAGGCTGGGCCATCAACATGGGTAAGTCTGAAGCCAAATGACTGTAGGAGCCTGGACAATGTGATGTGATGGGCCTTCCGGAGGGACTTTCTGACTCTAGTAGCCTGGGTGACATGACATGATGCTCCTGTAGGGCCTTCTGGAGCTGGCACCTGGAAGAACTATCCAGTCCCCTCCTCTGCCATGGGGCCTTCATCTCAGGGAATGCCCAGTGCTCTCCAAGCCCCTCTTATCCTTTTCTGATATCAAGAGGCCCTTTCTCCCAGAGCCTTTGGCATCCTGGGCAGCTGTGCAGGGGTAAGGCTGCTTCCACGAGGCTCCCTGGGAAGGTTCCATGTGGCCTCCTAACAGACATTCTGTGGGGACATGGTCATGTTGTGTCCTGGATAGACCTAGCATCAATACCACCTACCTCGGGTGCTGAGCATCTGCGTTCACCCAGCAGCCAGATTTGTGAATGATGTGGGTTTCTCATAGACCCATAGGAATGGTGCATACAGCCCTCATGGAGCCTGCCATTGCCCCCATGCAAGGATGGCACTTTGCTGTTTACAAAGACCTTCCTCTCAGGCACCTCATATAAGCCTGCCATAATGGTTGTCAGACCCATTTCCTGGAAGAGGTAAACAGAGGCTGAGAGAGGCTCAGGGACTGGGTCAAGAGCCCTTGTACTATAGCCCTGCATCCCATGCTGTACTGTGGGGAGGTGCAGAGCTGCTTTCAGAGGACCTTGCAGCTTCAGTTCCCCTGGGCTTGTGGGGAAAGGCCTTTGCAGTTACTCAGGTTCCAAGGCCAGGGCTTCAGGTGGGGAGCAGGCAATGGGTGAAGCTGCACCCTGGCCTCCAGGGCCCTCCCCATTGCCACTGGCACTCATGACCAGCAGAGGGCACCCTTCCTGACCAGCCCTTCTACCACCTATACAATCTGGGTGAGTGGTCCCATGGTATGTCCCCCTAATACCCCAGCATAGGACATCATGCAGGACAGACATGGCCAGGATGTTATGGGTATCTGCTGACCCAGGCTCTGCCAGGTGCTCAGTTTCCTGCTCCTGCTTGGAGTCTGAGTGGCCTGTGGAGGATACTGGCAGGACAGAGGCCCAGGAGCCCAGCCTGGCCCGACCCACTTCTTTCTACCTGCTCCTTTTCAGGGGGTGGCTTCCACCACTGCTCCAGTGACCGAGGTGGGGGCTTCTGTGCCTATGCGGACATCACACTTGCCATCAAGGTATGTAGTGAGCGAGAAGGGCAGAAAGGGCCTCCAAGAGCCCCCTCTTACAGGCCTTGAACTGGGCCCAGAGCCCTTCTTGTACCCCCAAGTTTGTCATTCTTACCCCGTGCTATTAGAGGAGACCAAAGTTGAGAGCAGGTGGGCTAGCCTGGGTGATTCGGCCAAGTGCAGCTCTGACACTTACCCCTTCTGTGTTTCTTAGAGGGTTATTTGTGACAAAGGGTGGGTGACAGGGAAAAGTACCCAGGAAAGGTTAGAGGAGGTGAATGGTGTCATGGTGGTGGAGGTGGAAGCTGGTGTTTAGACAGGTGTCCCCTGTACCAGCCTCTACCCTCAGTTTATCATGAGGACATGGAGGGCCAGAGGGGGAAGGCACAGCCGAGGAGCCCTGATCCCAAGCTCCACTCACCCTACACCAGCCTCACGCTGGACAGCAGGGCCTAGGTGATCAGCTCCCAACTTCCATAGTGGGGCGCAAGGGAGACAGAGGGGGAGACCAGGAAAGGAAGGGAATACTTCCTGGAAGCGGAGACATAAGAGCTTGGCCTTGCAGGATGAGGCAGAGGTCAAGGGCTGAACACCAAGCCTGACCTGCTACCTCCTCCAGGAAGCCTTCCCTGACTGCCTCCTACAGCTCTGCTTGCTGGTCAGTCTCACTTCTCATCTCCTCTCTCCCAAATGCAGTTCCTGTTTGAACGAGTAGAGGGCATCTGTAGAGCCACCATCATTGACCTGGATGCCCATCAGGTAAGTGACCTCCTAGGCCTGCGTCTGGCACCCCATCTCCGCAACAGCCTCTGTTGGCTGTACAAGGTCCCTCCCCAGGAATGTCTGGAGCCGCAGGCTGTCTGCTGCCTCTCTTGCCCTGAGTTTCTGTCTCCACGCCACTTGCCCCAGCTGCCAGGGCCAAGTCCTGCTCATTGTTTTGCTTCTGGACCCTGGTCTCGCTTCCCTCATCTTCACCCCTTCTCTTCACTCCTCGCTGCTTTCCTTGCCTGTCACCAGGCAGACTGCTTTTCCTAAAATCCATCTTTCAAATGCCCTTCTGGTGCTCCAAACTCTGCCAAGGCTCCTGTTGCTTCCTTGTCCATCTGGAGCTCTCACCTCCTATGTGGATCTGTGAGCCTGGCCTCAGGCATAAGTACACACTCAGGATGTGCATGCAGCCACAGGGCTTGAAGGCTCTTAGAGCTTATTGCCTCAGGGTTCAGGACCCAATGAAGAAAATGCCTTCTTTTCAAGACACCAGCCCAGAACTGGTTTGGGGACAGGATCAGGGTTTAAGGGCTCAGGAAGGCCCCTTCCACCGTTGATGTTCCAGCTTTGTGCTCTCTGGGGCCCTGCTCCAAGCTTATGGGACATCAAGTGCCTAACCCAAGTCAGGAGCTTCTGCCCTCTTGGCATGGACTGCCTTTTACAGTTTAATCTTTCACTCCCAGGATCTATAAAGGGTAGCCAGGCCAGGAGTTAGAAAAAGGAAACATAGATTTGGGGCTTGTTTAGGGTCCTGGGAATGTCTCTGTGGACATGTTTTGAGGTTGAATCCCAGCTCTGCAGCTTAACAGCCATGGGAGCACTACCCCGGGGCCGCAGTGTGTGGAGCATGGGAGGCTCTGGGCCGGAGGTAGGGAGAGCACCTGCCTGCAGGCTGCTCTTTGCTCTTCCTTCAGGGCAACGGACATGAGCGTGACTTCATGGGAGACAGGCGCGTGTACATCATGGATGTCTACAACCGCCATATTTACCCCGGGGACCGCTTTGCCAAGCGTGAGTCGTCCACCTGCTCCTCCCTCTGTTGTGCGTTCTGCCCAGGCAGGGCTCTCTCTCCCAAATAGATCCACTACGCAGGGACTTGGAGAAGTCTTCAGCGTGCCTAAAAGTGCCATCAAGTCTCCTATGACCCATAGTGACCCTATGTACAGCAGCTCTGAAGCCTGCCCTGTCCTGAGCAAGTCTCACTGAAAATGGGTATTGGTCCCATTTTACAGATGTGAACACTGAGACCTACGGAAGCTGCTCAGTCTACCCAAGATCACATAAGCCTGTTATAAACACACATGTAGGTTCTTGAATATTTACTAATTTAGTAGAGTTTCTTTCTCGTAGATGTCCATTTGTCCCATGGAAGGTAGGGAAGAAGCAAGAACACAAAAGAAATAAGGAAAAAAACAGACAATATATTGCCCTCTCAGAAAAAAGTACAGATTATGAACCTAAATGCAAATGAGTGAAGCTCTATCGTTCGAAAGACAGTGGCGCGCTCTGAGCTGAGGCTTGGAGACACAGGCACCTGTGAGGCACATCCGTGTGAGGTGTTAGAGCATCCGGGGAGGGCAGGCTGGCTGCTGGTGTGGTCCGAGCACAAGGTTCTGAGTGGTCCTGTGTGTGCTGCCTTTGCACTTGAGGACGTAGCAGGATCTGCACACTGGGTGATAAAATCAGGCTGGCTTAGATTTCTGAAACTCCCGGGGCAGGAGTGTTCCTTCTCTAACTCTCTTCTCCCCTTTGCGTCACCTTTTTCTGTAGTTCTCGGTAATCCTTTTCACTTCATTTCGGATGTGATAAGAGACAGGGTGGTGCCTTTGTCTGGAGTCTGGCCAGCTGGCTTCTGGTCCTGGCGAGGACTCCTGCAAGACCAGGGACCTGAGGCAGTCTTCCCTCTCCTGAACCTGGTTCCTTTCTCTGCCAATTGAGGTGACTTCTCTCTTGTATCAGAGGCCATCCGGCGGAAGGTGGAGCTGGAGTGGGGCACGGAAGATGACGAGTACCTGGAGAAGGTGGATAGGAACATCAGGAGGGCCCTCCAGGAGCACCTGCCCGACGTGGTGGTGTATAATGCAGGCACAGACGTCCTGGAGGGGGACCGCCTCGGCGGCCTATCCATCAGCCCAGAGGTGGGTCCTGATCCTGGTGGGGGTAGGGGGCTGCTCTGAATCCCAGCCAGGGCAGGGACAGTGGGCAGCGTTGGACCTTCTGATGTCAAGGAGCAAACACCAGTCTATGCTGGGGTTAGACCTGCAGGAGGACTTCCTGATGCTGCTGCTTCCAACCCCTCACCCTCCCCGCAGGGCATCGTGAAGCGAGACGAGCTGGTGTTCCGAGCGGTGCGGGGCTGCCAGGTGCCCATCCTGATGGTGACGTCTGGCGGGTACCAGAAGCGCACAGCCCGCATCATCGCGGACTCCATCCTCAATCTGTACAGCCTGGGGCTCATTGGGCCTGAGTCCCCCTGTGTCTCGGCCCAGAGCTCGGACACGCCTCTGCTGCCCCCCGCGGTGCCCTGACCAGTGCTGCCCAGCTGGCCTCCCTGTCTGCCCTCAGCCTGGCCCACCCGCCCTCCCACCTGTCCTCCTAGTGCTTTTTGTTTTCTAGCCCGAGGTGTGATTTGGGGCCACCATCCAGGAGCCGCTAGGCAGGGAGAGTGTCTGGTGGCCTCTTGAGAGCGCAGAGCGGTTCTGACTGGGCTGTGGCTCCCACACTCTCCCCGAGGCAACTGGGAAGGTGCCCAGGCCCTGCTGGGGGCCTGGGAGAGGAAGCAGATGCCCAGGGAGGACACACACAGACCCCGGGGAGGGAGCTCAGAGCTGTCAGAGAGAAGAGAAGTGGACAGGTCACCGAGGAGGGGACAGGATGAATGAGGCCCTAGGAAGCCTAGAGGCCCTGGGCGTAGGGCATTCTGGTTTCCTAGAAAATCAGACCCAGATGACTGAGGCAGAATCCACCTCTGCCAGATTCGTCCTGAGATTTGGTTCTCTCCACCCCACTTCAGTGAGGGCACGAGGCACAGGTCCAAGGAGTGGACCTGGGAGCCAGTGTGCTGACCCTGAGCTCCCCGGGGTGGGGATGGGACTCAGATTGTTTGTCTGGTCTTGGATTTGAGGGCATTAGAGAATGGAGTGCAGGTGATGTCACTCATCCAGGGCTCCCCTCAGTAAACCAAACTCTGGAGCTGTTTTCTGAGAGCCTCTCCCTGTGATCGAAGGCAGAGAGGCCTGTGAACCCCTACATCCCTGCTGCAGTAGTGGGCTCCTCTGTTCAGAGTGAGCAGCAGGCTTAGGGGGCAGATGGTTGTTAGCTCAGGGGAGGGCTGCCCATCCAGGTGGGCAGGGTGTAAAGGGAGGAAGGGATGGCCCCAGAGGGCGAGGCCTAGACAAGGGCACTTGGAGATGGGCAGGGAGCCAAGGCAGGTCCCACAGAGAACTACATCACCAGGTGGGACTGCGGTTCCGGCCAGGATAGGCCTAGGGGTCTAGCAAGTCCATCATGACCAGGACCCCAGAAGGCTGTGATAGCAGGGGCTGGATGGGGCCCTGGGTGGGCTGCTGACCGCTGTTCGGGGTCTTGACACCTGGCTCTGGCGAATCCTTAGTCTGTGGCTGTGTCTTCCTTCAGCTGTAATCTGAAGGGGACATCCAGGACTCTCCAGAAAGTCAGGTGGGGGGATGTCCATCCCCTCCATGACCTGTACAGGTTCTTAGCCTGTGGCCATGGTCTTGACCACAGTCACAGGAAGAGGAGTGTCCCCAGACGGCGCCCTGAAGGGACTTGTGCTTTTGGCCATTTCCTCCTATGTTTTCCCTCACTCCCCATCCCACTGTTGGGGGGGGGGAAAGGGTTCCAGGGGCACAAATTGGCTCAAATGTGCTGACCCAAGGCCTTTGCAGTATGCTTGGAACTGAGTCATTGTCCCTGGCTTGCATGCATTGCCCCCAGGGCCTGTGGCACCCAGGTCGACAATGTGCGTGGCTGGGTGCCCTTAGTTCCCTTGCTGGAGAGCTGGAAAGACTCATGTGGACTCAGCTGCTGTGTGTCCTTAAGGGGAACCACCTCTCTCCTCGACCCCCCAAGAACGAAGTGAAATAAAGATTAGAATTCACACAGCATGTGACTGATTTCTGCTACAATTTCATTTCATCCCCCAAGTGGTACAGAGGAGGAAACCTGGGATTAGAGAAAGGAGGGACTGCCTCCCGCCCACACATCTAGTGACTGGTCAAAGCATGGAACCAATTGCGGAAGGGGGTGGGGGTGAGAGAGAAAAGGGGAGCGTGTGTTCTCTGTTCCCGCTTACCTCAGACTTGGAGGTGAGAAAAGGCAGGGTATGGGTTAGGGTGAGGATATTATTCTTCAGGTGAAAGGGTCTAGGGCTCCTAGGGGCTAAGGTCTTAGGGATAAGGTTGAGGAGAAGCAAGGGAACAGTGGGCTAGTTGGAGGACTTGCCAGAGGGTAGCTGTGTGGTGCCGTGAGGACAAAGGGTGGCTTCTAGCTTGAGCTGCGGTTGGAGCATGCATGGAGGGCCTGCTGCCTGAGAAGGGGGCTGGTGATCCTGTGCTGGGGATGAGGGGGTTTAAGCAAGTGGTGAGGACAGAACCTTGTCTCTTCCACCACAGAAGAGTGATGAAGGTTCCCCAGTGTCAGCACAGGCTGGGTGGAGGCAGGGTAAGCCCTGAGGTGGCTGTGAGGAGAAGGATAAAGGCAGCATGGCACCCTGAATGGGGATGATGCGCCGACTTCACTCTGAAAGTGGTTTATTATTTTACAGATGCAGAAACCAAGGTGTGGTGGTTTGTAAGTGGCTCCAGGTACACAGCTGCTTAGTGGAGGGTGAGGACTTGAAGTGTAGCCATGGGCTCCAGACTTATTGGTCTATAGGAGCCATATCTGATGGGCCAACCCCACGGATACACACTGCAGCACAGGGGCAAGCATGCAGGCAATGTCGATGCTGAGGATCATGTGATGATGTTACTGAAAGTCAAGGAGACATGAGGGCAGTGGAGAGAAAATGTTCAAGATTTGTCTTAGGATCTGGGGGTTTTATAGTATGTAGGTTCTACAGTCAGGACCCACAGTAATAGCAGTCAAGAAATCAAAAGACATGATGCATTGGGAAAAAAAATCTGTCAAAGACTTCTCCAAGGTGATTAAGAGCAATGATATCAATTTAAAGACTAAGGTGCACCTGATTCAAGTTCTAGTATTTTCAGTTGCTTCCTGTGCATCTGATAGTTGGACAATGACTACAAACAGCAGAATCAATATCTTTGAGTTATTCTGTTGAAGAAGTTGACTGAATATCCCACCGACTGTCAAAAGAACAAACAAGTCTGTCTGGAAGGAAATGCAGTCAAGAGTGTGCCTTAGAGTCATGGATGGAGAAATTTGGTCTCATGTACATTGTAAAAGTTGTCAGGAGTGGCCAGTCCTTGGGGGAAAAGGGCATCATTTTGGGAAAGGTGGAAGGTCAGTGAAGAAAGAGAGTACCTTCAACAAGACGGCTGACAAAATGGCTATGACAATGGGCTGAAATATGGCCAAGATGAAGAGGATGGTACAGGATAGGTCAAGGCTCAGATCTGCTCACTGTGAGCTGTCGTCAACTCAACGGCGCATAATGACAGCAACATCCATTTTTAAAAGTCCAAGGGACACCTCCCAGCTGCCAGAAGTGAGTGAGGGGCCAGCCCAGGAGCCCGGATGGTGCTCACTGTGGGGTGTGTCACTCATGGCATGTCAGGTTGGGGGAGAACTGGGGAGCTTGGAGACCACTGTGAGACTGGAGCCTCGTGGGCACCCTTTTTTAGCTTGGGCCAGCCGTTGATGCCCAGCAGATGTGGGTTTGTATGTCACAGGAGTGAGGCAGGCATCTTGGAGCGATGGGGCCAACATCTGGCACAAGGGTGGACTTCCACTGCTGGGGTGAACAGGCTGGGCCACAGGCCTCCACATGCTGGGGTGGGCAGGCTGGACTGCAGGGCCTCCATGTGCTGGGGTGACAAGGCTGGGCCGCAAACTTCCAAGTGCTGGGCTGTTCAGGTTGGGTGGTGGGGACTTCATGTGCTGGGGTGAGCAGGCTGGGCTGTGAGGCCTCCATGTGCTGAGGTGAGCAGGTTGGGCCATGAACCTCCATAAGCTGGGGTGGGCGGACAGGGCTGTGGGGCCTCCATGTGTTGGGGTGAGCAGGCTGTATGCTGGGGTGAGTAGGCTGGGCTGTGAGGACTCCATGTGTTGAGGTGAGCAGGCTCGGCCCGAACCTCCTATGTTGGGGTGGGCCATGGGCCTCCACATGCTAGGGTGGGCAGTCTGGGCTGCGGGGCCTGGGCCAGCCCCTCAACCTCACAGCACTCAACCTTCTCACCCATATTCTGGGTCCTTCTGAGCTTGCAGGGTTGGATTGGGAGCTGAGGAGGTGACAGATGGCAAGTCAGAGCCTGACACCTGGTTCGTGCTGTGCAAATACAGCCCGCTGCCCTCCTCCCCGCCCCATTCTGGCCCACGCCTGGTAAGGGGCTGGCTGAAGTCTCAGGCCTCCCTCCCAGAGTTGAGTCACAGCGCCTTTTTCCTCAGGGGGCTAGCAAGAGGTCCTCTGGCAGGACACCCAGCCTGTCACCAGACACCCCCCTCACCGTGGAAGAGCAGGGCCCCGCAGGGGGCAGAGGCAGCAATGAGTACCCCCCACAATGTGCGCACACCACCTCAGGCATAAACACAGCGGTGGCTGGCACGGCCTCCCCCTCCTAGCGGGACTCCCAGGCAGATCAGAAGACACACTTTAATGACGTCTCTGGGCTCCTCAGCCAAATGTTTGAGGTTTTAAGCCTGCCCTTGAGTTGGTTTAATTTAACTCCTCCAGTGTTGGTGGGGACGCCCTGCACCTCACCCCGGAGGGGCTCAGCCCTGACGAGTGTGGTCATGTCACTGAGACTGTCAGCGAGGCGGCAGGCTGCATCGGCCACTGTGGGGTCCCCAGACCCTCCCCAAGCCCTGAGCTACCTGTGCCTTAGTTTACTGCTCTTTAAAATACAGCCAGTTACCTTACACTCAAGGTGGATAGGAGAATTAAGGAAGTTGAGACATATATTATCTTGTGTGTGTGTGTACACACATACACACAGAGCTCCAGTGGCTTGGTGGGTAAAGAGCTGTGCTGCTAACCCAAGCGCACACAGTTCAAATCCTCCAGCTGCTCCACCGGAGAAAGGTAAGCAATCCCCAGCCTTGTGGTTTAGTGCCTCTGAAAACCTGCTAGAGGGTCAGCTGTGAGTTGGTTCCAACACAACAGTACATAATGGCATCATATATATAAATATATAAAATACAAAACGAAACCTACCCGTGTATTGTTGTTGTTGCTAGGTGCTGTCATGTAGAGTATGACTCATAGTGACCCTATGAACAAAAGATCTGAACACTGTCCTATCCTGTGCCATCCTCACACTTCCTGACATACAAAAGTTCACTGCAGCAGTAACCATGTCAATCCACCTGGTTGAGGGTCTTCCTC